TCTTTCTTTCTTTCTTTCTTTCTTTCTTTCTTTCTTTCTTTCTTTCTCTTTCTTTCTTTCTTTTCTTCTCTCTCTCTCTCTCTCTCTCTCTCTCTCTCTCTCGTTTGAATACACATGTTTCATTATCAGCTTGTTTGAAGACTGCCAGCCTAGGCTGACAAGAGACCAAAGAATCAGAATCAGATTTCAAGCAATGTGTTTTTCTTCAACTGATATTGACAAAATGGATAATTATTTTATTAGGTTTAGCTACAGTACTGTCCAACTCCAAGGCAATTATGAATCATGTGCTGAGATGGCTGGAAAAAGAAAAGCCTGGAAATTAACCTTAGAAAGAATAATGGAAAAAATTATTTATCCCAACAGAGAAAACTGAAGAGAAAGGATAGCTGTCTTCTATAAGGCTGTTATTCAGAGATTAAGTGGGTTTATTCTGTCCTGCTCCAAAAGGCAGGAAGATTAAATTCTGAACAGCATAAAAACCCTTTACCTGATCTCATAGGGAGCCAAGCAGAATCCAAGCAAAACAATGCTTTCTTCATGTGCATACAATATGGAAACAAAACAGAAGCCATGGTGAATTCCTACAGTACCAGTTCCATCTAGGAAATGAGATGGATTAATCAAAATCTAAGGAACAATGTAGGTAAGAACTTTTTAAGCATCTGTACTGGATTCCTATAATCTCTTGCGTCTCTGGAAATCTTTAAACTTCTATATCATAGATTAATCATTTAAGGTATCTTCTGCTTCTAGAAAACTTAACCAGTTGATGAATTTGTCTCTGTGTCCATCACTGATATGTGTCTTTTCTTACCAAATATTTTCTTTATCTCCCAGATCAAACATATGGCTCACATAGTATCTGCATTGAAAAACAAGAACATTTGCAATAGAACACACTCAAATAGTCTTTGCTTTATAGGAAAAAAATTACATATGATTTTAATTTATTTCATGTCAGAAAATTGCTTTCTTATTCACTGACGTTAAAGATGGATTCTAAAAATGTGTTTCGGTGCTATTACATAAACAAAAACATGTACTCACAGCTCTTTCTGCTCAAGTGGAAAGAGTTTATTTCCAATTAGAAGCTGTGGAACTACATCAGCTACCAAACCAGTTACAATTTGAAAGTTGTTGGTTAAACAGGTAATTTATCCGCAGTTGCCTAGTGCTGCCGCTTTTGTTGGATCTTTTCAATATCAGGTAGCTTTTGCCAGATCAAGGTATCTTCAATTTTACCTCCTTGTTAAAGTGCTTGGCAGTAAGGAGGTATACTATATATACACCATTCAACAAAAAACATGCAGTTCACATGGTGCTGACTGAATTGGTAGAAATGTTTTTAATTCAACTGAAATGGGAGATTCTGCAAATATGCATTTGCTGATTTGCTTGGCTATTAGAGCTGTTATTTGCTGCTTTATTATTTCTAGCCCTTCTCTGATTCTCCTTGTTTCTAGGTGATACTTCCTGATTGAGTATTCTTTGGTTTTATTGTTCTTCAGCTTCTTTTCTTTTCATCTTGCTTGCACCTGATCTTTGCCCACTGACTTTATTTTCCAGCCTTATTATAAACTGAAAGACACTTCACTGATTTTAGGGCATTCATTGAATTGGTTAAATTTCCAAAGGACTTTAGAAAGGTGGGGCTATATTGCCTGTGTTCTCAATTTAAAATGGTAAATGCCTTCTCCCCGCTTTTGATATTACTGATATTGTGGATTTGTTTAGTCAATTTATTCATTTCGGGAATTAAGTAATGATTGTATTTAAAAAAAATCCAGGCCAAATCCAAGGAAAGTATTTGACAACTTACATGCGAACAAGACTTCAAAAATAGTATCTAGTCTCAGACTGAAGTCTGAAGATAATGAATGCAATCCATGTTACGAGACAGTGCTTTGTGCCAAGTCAAAAATGTTCCTTTCTGCTCTTCCATTTCAAAGTTTATTTTATATTAAAATAAATATTAAAATAGTGTATAATATTAAAATATACAATGTCAATGGCAGGCTGGCCCTCATTTGTAAAACAATGAAAAATCAAGATTCACTGTTGTTGCAGAAAGCACTCAAATATTTGAAAATCCAGGCCAAATAGCTTTAGCATTCACACACACACAAATACACACCTTCTCTACTATAAAATATAAACTCAGGAGACACCAAGGATGTCAAAAATCAAATCTTAGATGTAATTTGACAACAAAAGGCTGTTACAAGCAAGATGGGAAATGAGATTGCCTTATAACCTTGGAAACGGGGTAGGAGTACAAAGGGACCACAGATGAAGTAATGAAAGAGATTATGATGTTTCTAACTATAGTCATTCCCTGAACAGTTGCTGGTGATAATATATACATCCGGACATTGGTAACCTAAAAATAAATTATTCCAGTGCAAGTCACAGGTTATGAAACTAAGACTCTTGATGTACTCTCAATAGCTTCACATTGCAGTCATCCTTTGAAGACATCTGTTTAGGAATAATTGTTTTACAGCAAGCCCACATTAGCATTCTGTTAATAGAAAGAGAGGGGAAACTTGCCTTAAATCAGCCTGGTGGAAGTGTCTTTTCTGGGTAATTGAAATAGTCGCCTGTCCTGAAGCTGTAATTGCAGTTGTTTTTTCTTTGATTGCTCTCAGCCATACTATACAATATCTTCAGTGGCTAGTGCCTGTAGTTTAAATTCTCATCTGGAACTAACATAGAAACACAGAAAACTCATGGCAGAGAAACACCTCACATCCATTGAGTCTTCCCTTTGACTTTTTGTTTTATTTTTAAATAATTATGTTTAATTATTATTAGATGTTATTATTTTTAATTTTTGTCAAAACTTGGACATGTGTTTATCCCAAGCATGTTTAAACTCAGTTACTTGATGATTGACTCACTATCTCTGCTGGAAGTTGGTCTCAAGCGCCACTATAGGCAATCCTTATGACCACAATTGAGCCCAAAATTTCTATTGTTAAGCGAGACATGGGTTAATTGAATTTTGCCCCATTTTATGACCTTTCTCACCACCGTTGTTAAGTGAATCACTACAGTTGTTACGTTAGTAACCTGGTTGTTCAATGAATCAGGCTTGCCCATTGACTGCTTGTCAGGAGGTTGCAAAAGGTAATGACTGACTTTGGCTCCTATAGTAATTTATTAACATCTAAAGAAAAACTATTTGTAACAGAATAACAAGATTGGAAGGGTTCCTAGTGAGTCCAATCCCCTGCTCAAGCAAGAGATCCTATACCAGTGATAGCTAATCTTTTCGGCATCAAGTGCCCAAAGCGTGCACACATGGACACCCCCAAAATGCAATGCCCGTGCACCCGTGCATGCGCATGTCCCGTGCATACATGCATGATCCCCGCCCCTGCGCATGCGTGCGAGACACCCACACATGCACCCCAACTCTCGTGCATGCAGTCTGCCCTAACATGCACGTACTATTCCTGTGTGTACGCCCCGTGCATGCGTGGCAGAGACCCAAAGACCAGCTGGCTGGTGGGAGGCGTGTGTGCATGCACAGCGGAACTGAGTTGAGGTGACAGCTCGTGTGCCATAGGTTTGCCATCATGGTCCTATACTATTTCAGACAAATGATTGTCCAATCTCTTAAAAACCTCCAGTGTTGCAGCATTCACAATTTCTGGAAGCAAGTTGTTCCACTAATTAATTATTTAATTGTCAGGAAATTTCTCCTGAGCTCTAGTTAGTTCTCTCTTTGATTAGTTTCCACCCATTGTTTCTTGTCCTGCATTTAGATGCTTTGGTGAATAGGTTGATCCCACCTCTATAGTGATAACCACATGGCCAACAACATTGTAGACCAATGCATCAGATCCTGGGGTGGGGGGAAGGGCTTCTAAGAGCACTCCCACACCAGAATTTCAATTTTGAAGTTCATCTGTAATTCAGTTTAACTCTGTCAGCCTCAAAATCAAGACAGGTAATAAAACTATAGATGTTGAAAAAAAAATTACTTTATTGCAGTTTGCCTGGTCAAGCCCAGTGTGGATTTAAAAAGAGAACTCTTTATCTCCTCCATCAAAAAATGTTTTTAAGTAGAGACCCATATATTACTGTACAAAGTAAAATAAAGATCATGCAGAATGGTGTATAGTAAAATAATATTGTGAATGCATTCCTAATGTTTTAATGCACTGATGGTCTTTTATGCCTGAAAGAAGCAATATTCATACGACTCCTTTAATACAAGGGAGAGGAAATTCAATATATTGAAATAATTATTATCCCTTCTCTATTTCAGAAAGGTAGCTCTCCAGTATGTGTATCAAATTGTTAAAATCAACACTATACTCTAATTATGGATAATAGCACCTCCTTCTACATAAGATACCAAAAAGCAAACCTAGAAAAATATTTTTTTATCAAATTTATAAATTGCCTATCTCCCTTACAAAGGGAGTCATATCAGCCAAAACGTAACAGAAACAAAAAATGATGATGGATAACATCATTAAAAAAAGAAATGGAAGGTGTTTACTTTGTCAGAAAAGGAAAAATCACTCCAGCTTGAAAAATCCTATTAATATTTATTGGGGGTATCAAGAGAGAGTATCCAAATCGAGTCCAGAATCATAATTCACATAGCATCGAAATTCATTAGCTAAATTTCGAGCATGTCTTGGAATAAACTTGCACATTTTCACACCAAGATATTTAGCAGCATATTCTTCCATGATTAAACCTGGAAAAACAAAACAAAACTTTAGAATCGTCCTTCTAACATCAGAATTGGTTTTATGTATTTCCAATTATGAGCCAATCAGATGCTCCCAGAAAGCTCCTAAATTGGGTATAAAAACAAAAATTATTTCCTGCTATCCAACAGATAAGTTGCTACAGTAGTCCTCAACTTATGACCATTAACAGAACCCGCAATTATGGTTGTACGTCAAGGTTGTTAAGTCAGTCACCCATGACTGTGCCCGATTGAATAACCTCTTTTGTGGTGGTCATTAAGCAAACATGGTTGTTGTAAAGCAAACCCATTGTTTGCTATGGCAGGATTTTTGTTGAAAACCAGAGTAAACTGTTTCTAGCAAAAACATAATAAATCCTTGTCATCAACTGCAAGATTCTGCAAATGGCAGTAAATGTAGGGCGGTTGCCAAGTGCCCAAACTGTAGTCATATGATTGTGGGGATAGGCTCAATGTAACTTCAAATCCAGTTCATAATTAGCTTTTTCAGAGTCTGTCATAATACTGAACGGTTGTTAAGCAACCAGTAGAAAGCCAAGAACTACCTACATGTTCAGACAGCACCATTGTTATGACAAAGCTATAAAAATTGCAATTTTTTCTCAAACTACCGTGTTTCTCCAACAATACGGCCTCCCCCAATAGGAAATCCCAGCATGCTTTATAGGCATAAAATCAAATTAAGCCCCTCCCCCCCAAATTAAGGCCTATATTAAACATGCCAAATGGGGGGGAATGGCGGGTGGGGGCTGGCCGTTAGGAAGTACTTTTGTTGCATACCCGGATATGGTGCTGCCTGCGTTGACCTCGGCGTTGGTGGGGCACTTCATATTGGGAGACCTTCCGCCGTTGCTTTCCCTTCTCCCTGTGCTGCCGCGGCGTTTAAAGCAACGCCGCCCACGGCATTTGGCGCAGCCATGCGCGGCCAGCCAGGGCTCCTCCCTGCAACCAGAGCCCGGCGGAGACACTCGGCTTCAGGCGCTCCTGTCGCCGCCTTCCCTTCGCCTTTGAAGGCAAAGCCAATTCTTTTAAAAACGACGCCCTACTACCGGTACAACAAAGACTCCGCTGACCGAGAGGGCAGCCCAACCCCACGTGGGGAGGCGAATCTCCCGGGGCCGCAGCGCAGGATTGGCCCACCCCAGGAGAAGTGCCCAGCCGCCATCCCTGCCTGGCGCCGGTCAGAGCGCAAAGAGCTTCGCCTGGGGTGCCCAGCTCAGCTGACAGGCGGGCCCTCCTGCCCAGCGGTGGAGCTCTCGCCAAGGCAGCGAGTGCCTCCCTGCCGGACCCTCTGCTCATCCCACCAGAGCTGTGCAGGCTGGGCAGAGCTGGGAAAGCGAGCCGCGGGTGCACACCCGCCTGCCAACCGAAAGAGCTGGGCCGACCTGAGCTTGACTCCCTTCCCAAGTCCCTCAAATCCCAAACCCGAAGGGGCCACTGGGAGAGGCTGCCCGAGGCAGTGATAGCGCCCACCCATCCACGGACAGGGAGGCATGGCGACAGCAGCGCTGCTTCCCTGGCCGGTGGGTCTGGCGGAGAGAGCCTGAAGCCACCCGTCCTTTCCACCCCTCGCCCAGCCCGTCCCCGTCCCCATGCATCTCCAAACGCACCGGCAGCTCCAAACGCTGCAGCGGCATGGGCATCAGGCAGAGGCACTCACTCGGCGAGGACACGGCGCAGGCCGTCGCCTTGCCTCCCTGTCCACGGATGGGTGGGTGCTATAACTGCCTCGGGCGGCCTCTCCCGGTGGCCCCTTTGGGTTTGGGCTGGAGGGACTTGGGAAGGAAGCCAAGCTCGGGTCAGCCTGGCTCTTTTGCTTGGCAGGCGGGCGCGCACCCACAGCTCGCTTCCCCGGCTCTGCCCAGCCTGCATGGCTCTGGCGGGATGAGCAGTGGGTCCAGCAGGGAGCGCTCGCTGCCTTGGTGAGAGCTCTGCCGCTGGGCAAGAGGGTCCGCCTGTCAGCTGCACTGGGCGCCCCAGGCGAAGCTCTTCGCGCTCTGCCCGGCGCCAGGCAGGGATGGAGGCTGGGCGCTTCTCCCGGGGTGGGCCGATCCTGCACTGCGCCCCGGGAGATTCGCCTCCCCACGTGGGGTTGGGCTGGCCTCTTGGGCAGGGAAGTCTTTGTCGTACCGGTAGTAGGGCATCATTTTTAAAAAATTGGCTTTGCCTTCGAAGGCAAAGGGAAGGCAGCGACAGGAGCGCCTGAAGCCAAGTGTCTCCGCCGGGCTCCAGTTGCAGGGAGGAGCCCTGGTTGGTCGCACGTGGCTGCGCCAAACGCCGTGGTGTTGGTCTAAACGCCGCGGCAGCACAGGGAGAAGGGAAAGCAATGGTGGCGGAAGGTTTCCCGATACGAAGTGCTCCACCAACGCCGAGGTCAACATCCAAGCTGTCGCCGCCCGCCCACCCGAGGATGCAAGGGGGGAGAATTAAGTCACCCCCCAAAAGACGGCCTAGCCTTATTTTGTGAGAAACACAGTACTTCCCCAAGACATCAATTTTTTAAACCTCCTATTCTCTTACAAATCATTTCACTGTGGAGAACAGTTGATTAGTTCCCAAATGGGAGCATTCTGAAAAAAATACAATCTAAAACAGAATGTCTGTTCAACAGATACCAGCCATGGAAACTGTTAGTAATATGAGTCACCTAACAGGTATTTGGGTTAGAAATATATAAACCAGGATAGACATTTTAAAACTGTATATTTAAGAAAATGCAAAACTGTAGTTGGGTGTGTTTTCTCAAATGGCCATAAGATGGAGCCAGAAACCTGGGTTGTTTTAGTCTGAGTCTCAGAAGAGAGTGTGAGTGTATCTCTGTTTCCTTCTGTTGGAAAGTATTCCTCATTTCTTCTAATTGACTGATATTACTGGATTTGATGTAAGTCTGATACTGAACTGTTTTTGACACTGGAATTTGATATTTGGATTATCCCTGGATTGAAAAAATGACTGATTTACCTGTGAATGACTTTGGATTGCTTGTTTGGACTTTGCTTAATGTTTCTGGAAGTAAAAACCTACATTTAGTGTACAGCGTATCTGTGTTGTGTGTGTGTATTATTCAAACACTTCTCTCAAATACGTCTCCCTGTATGCGCTCATTCTCCTAACGGGGAATTACCTCAACAGAAACCTACCCAAAAGGAATCTTATGTTTTGAATCAAGTAGCATTTCGTACCGCATTCTTTTAAGCAATAAATCAGATATCCCCCATATCTGGTCATACAACGGCAAAAATATACAGATAGTCGACTACAATTGAGCCAAACATTTCTGTTGCTAAGTGAAACATTTGTTAAGTGAGTTTTGCCACATTTTAGGACTTTTCTTGCCATAATTGTTAAATGAATCACTGCCGTTGTTCAGTTAGCATCATGGTTGTTAAATGAATCTGTCATCCCAATTGACTTTTCTTGTGAGGTCACAAAAGGTGATCACATGACCCCGAGACATTGCAAGTCTCAGAAGTATCTTCATTTTAGATCACATGACCACAGGGATGCTATAATTGTAAGTGTGAAAAATGATCATGTCACTCTTTTCGGTGTCGTAACTTTGAATGGTCACGAAATGAACTGTTGTTGAGGACTACCTGTATACATAGACTTAGGTGAAATAGAGCATGCTTTTGAAATTCTTTCTTGAATCTATCTTCATAATTAGCTATATTATCTGAAAGCCATTGCTTTTTTTATATTTTTATCAATCGATGTTATTTCCCAGGGTTGCGATTCAAATTTTTCAACAACCGGTTCTGTGGGCGTGGCTAGGTGGGCATGGCCATGCGACTGGGTAGGCGTGGCTTCTTCTTTCTTTTTTTTGCAGCACCCTGCCATGCTCCATTTTGGGGCCTTCTGGGCCTCAGGGAAGCCTCCTGGGGGAGGGGGGGCGTTTTTGCTTCCAGAAGGCTTCCCTTGGGTTCAGGGAAGCCTTCTGTGATGATCAGTGCCTCCAAAGTGATCAGCACCTCATATGCTGTCTGTTGATCACCTTTGGCACACCAATGGCAGGAGAAATATTTAATTATAGGTCGTCCTTGTGGGTCATTCAGAGAAGCAGTTGTTAAGTGAAACTGCAACAGTGGCTATGATCTTGCTTCACCTTTCCTTTGCTTTACAGACCTGCAGAGGTTGTAAATGTTAGGACTAGTCATAAAAGTTACTTTTTCATCACAGTCATAACTGCAACTGGTCACTAAATGAGGCAGTCACAAAGTGAGGACTACCTGAAGTTTTATCAGACGATTCTTTTATAGAAACTTATTTTCGATGTATGCAACTCTATAGTAATAATTGTTTTATAAATGGCTACTGTTTTCTTTCCAAAAACTACTGAAGCAAATGAATTTGAGAAAGCAAGCGATGTACCTGTGCAGAGCAGAATCTTTCCTTTAGTTAAGTATTTAATCGTTTCTGCTATTTTTTGGAGACATTCTTCAGATAGGTAGGGTGGATCTGCCAAGACAATATCAAAACTATGTGCTTCAAGGTGGGCTGGAAGTTTCAAAGGGCTGTTGTAATCGTAGAAAATATACTCGGTTCCATACACAGAAAATCTTTGGTCATACTCCAAAATGCAGGTTGAAAAGCCTTGGCAGTCTTGCTCTTTCAGTTTCTGATAAACACTCGGGGCACTGACACAAGCTATCCTGCAAGGATAATGAAGCAAGGTTATTTCATACACTGAAATGTTTAATTCACACCTTTTCCTGAATTTAACTGCTTAACATGAGTGCACAAACATTATTCTTGTTCAATAACACACCTGCAGAATTATTTTCCCTTCACCAGAGACAGGAAAGTGCCAATTCGACAGAACTGAACGAATACTTATTTACAAATAAATAATAAATAATTAGTCATTGCACAGTGCAAACTTGTTTTTGCGTGAATATGCACAGTACTGCAACCAAAGTCAACTTTACAAATAACCTACTGTATTACTCAAAAAGTAACATGCACCTTCTGGACTGCTGCATAAACAGTCCATCTATTTTATACAGAGGACAGGATTAAACAGGGCTTGGTTTCCTGAAAACACGCTGCTTCTATTTCTACTATTATAAGTACCCTTCTCTTATGCACTTGTGGTCAACACATGTCCAAATATTAAATGCTTTTTAAAGAACTAGCTTCGGAGTTCTGTGTATCAAAAAATGCGGATTGCGCTAAAAAAGGCAGGAATCTCTGGGTCAGGGGTAGGTGGGGGGAGAAGACAGTCAGAAATTGAAGATGGGAACCCCGATCACAGGATGGAAGCCTCACCATTGTTTTTACACATGTAAAAATGCACAGGGCCTTGACTGCATAGTCTGGCCATTTTCTTCACTTTTTTGACATTCTCCCCTGTCCCGATAATCCTGGATATAGCTCTGGATTCAAATTCTTTCACAGATTAAAGGCTCATTAAAAGAACCATCTCAACTCCTCGTCCATAAAAGGGAAAGGTAGCATATTGCTGTCAGGGTTCCAAGTAACAAACCCAATGCAATCAAAACTCCAAGGCCAAAGTGCTCCTCAAAGTATGAATTTATTAGGAATGTCATATTGGCACGTCTGGTGAAAACCCGACTCTGAAGGTCCCGAGGTTTTCCCCACCCAAATTAAAAATCAAAGTAGCTTTCTCCCAGTCCACATGTCCATCACATGGTCCAACCAGGTCACAGTCCAAACTCCAGGTGGTTTTTCAGTCCATGCCTCCCCAGCACCTGGTGAGAACGTCCTTGGTTCCCAGGTGTTCTGACCAAGGCTTCCTGAGACAGTAACAATCAACGCTTAGTCCCAAAAACCCTCTTTTTATTTCAACGGCTGTGAATTATATTTTCAGAGCCTGTAATGAGTCCCAAACAGTTTGCGAATAGTCCAACAGAAGTCTGCCATGGTCTCTTTGGGATAAGGCTGATAAGCACCCACCTTTATCTCCCTTAAAATGCTGCCAACAATTAAATTGCCAATTAGCTGTACAAGGCCAAACGGAGCACAAAGTCAACATGGAGCTTCAGAGTTTAAACTGATCAGAACGAACTAAGTTGCTTCCTACAAAGGCTCATGTCCCTTTGCTCCTCCTTTATGTCTTATGGGAGGGGCCTTACTCCTGAGTCACCCCTTTTGTCTTAACTGTTCTTGCCTTCTGGCAGCTCTGTGCAAGTGCACACTGGGAACAGGCTCCCCCTATTCCTCTGCCTCACTGATGTCACATTCTGGAGGCTCCGGAGTCAGCAGATAACTCTCAGATGGCCCTGGCCCCATCTCTGTGTTGGGTGCAGATCCCTCATCCGAGTCCTCCCCAGACTCCAGGACTGGCCCATGTTCCTTCCCACTGTCCGACTCTGCTGCCAGCTCCTCAGGCCTCTGGCAGACCACAACACCAGGAGAAATAATTTTATTTTGGCTACAAGTCCCCAACTATCTCTATTCCCCCCTCCCATTCCCACAGCTGCAACCAGCCTTGCTGTGGCAGCCCTGAAGATGCTCCAAAATGGCTTCAGGGCTGACAATTGTGATGATCCAGAGCTGTCTGTATATGCTTGAAAGATCAATATCAAAAACTCCTTAGTGATTCTCACCTCCAATCTGACAGTCCTGTGTCTTAACCATGAACCTCCCCCCCCCCAGTCAAAACTGCATCATACATGAATAAGCAGCATTTTTACAAGATAGTCACAATGCTTGGTTTGTAGAAAGCCAACATAATTTACCTGCCACCTTTCCCAGCTGCTCTTATGGCCTCATTAGCTAAACAAAATGCTGTCTCAGGATCATACCAAAACTGGCTCAGTTGCTGAAAGGATTAAAAAAAAGTACAAATGTTAACAGCATAACTTTTGAGTAATATTTATCCGCAGAAGATTATTTGCTACAACCCAGAGGTCTGATTTGGCTGAAATACCAACTTAAAGAATTAGTATCCATCCATGGAAAAATGGATTAAAAAGATGACAGAATTGGGGGAGATGAAGTTAATTATACAAATTTGGGAAAAGATAAATAGGTTTGTTTCCACTTGGAAACCGTTTCTGGTTCTTCTGTTCTAAAGAGACTAGAATCAAACTTTGATTGGGCGGATGGATTGTTTTGTAGATGGTTGTTATAGAAATGGCTAGTATTAATTACTTTATACAAGTAAAAAGTTGATAGTATAACGCTATCATGCATCTTTCTGCACCAAAAGAAGCTGGAAGTCACTGCTTTTTGTTTCTTTCTTTTTTCTTTCTTACACCTATTTCCTTTCTACCTCTCTGTTCCCCTTTTTTCCATTGTCTTTTTAAATTTTATTTTATATTAAGAAAAAAAATGAAAAGAAAAAACAATAAATATATATATATGTATACAAAAGTAGGATCCTTGGTAGTGAAATACTGGCAGATTCAAGTTAGATGGTATCAAGACAAAAATAACAGAAATCGAGAAAATTAGTTTAGTTTCGATGAAAAACTAAGGGTGAGTAGGCACACCACTGGATTAAGTTACCATTCACAAATTGTTCTATGAATTCAATAATGAATAGGTCTGTTTGGGAATTATGAATGCATTTCCCTGAGAATTACAGGTAGTCTTCAACTTACAACAGTTCATTTAGTGACTTTCAAAGTTACAACAGCACTGAAAAAAAGTGATTTATGACTGTTTTTCATTTTTATGACCTTGGCAGCATCCCCATGGTCACATGATCTAAATTCAGACACTTGGCAACTGACTCACATTTATGACAGTTGCAGTGGCCTGGGGTCATGTGATCACCTTTTGCAGCCTTCCGATAAGCAAAGTCAGTGGGGAAGCCACATTCACTTAACAAATCATGTTACTAACTGAACTGCAGTGATTTACTTAATGACTGTTTCAAGAAAGGTCGTAAAATGGGGTAAAAGTTAGTTAACAACTGTGTCACTTAGCAACCGAAATTTTGGGCTCTGTTGTGATTCTAAGTCGAGGCCTATCTGCATTTGCACTCAGTTCACAGCAGCCATGAATGTAATGGCTGTAGAATGGGAAACAAAACAGGACATGATACACCAAGACATAAGTAATGGCTGCCAAAGTGCACGTGCTATTTATTTTACATAGATCATTAATCAGTGCTCTAAGCTAACTGAAAACTTAGTCACTGCTATTTCCATTCATGGAAACTGGAAGTGAAAACTTCTGAGCCTTTCTATTGCAGGGGTTACCATTAGCCATATTTTTAGGAGCCTCTATGGCGCAGTGGTTAGAGTGCAGCATTGCAAGCTACTTCTGCAGCCAGCTGCCTGAAATTTGGCAGTTCAAATCCCACCAAGGCTCAAGGTTGACTCAGCCTTCCATCCTTCCGAGGTGGGTTAAAATGAGGACCCAGATTGTTGGGGGCAATATGCTGACTCAGTAAACTGCTTAGAGAGGGCTGTAAAGCACTATAAAGCGGTGTATAAGTCTAGGTGCTGTTGCTATTTTAGTAAAAATGCTTACCCAGTTCTCTTCAATAGAGCCAACTGAATAACTGTGAGTTTTATCAGTAGTCTTAGCTTCTCTCTGTTGTTGCTCGACATAGAACTCCTGCAGAGCAGCTAAAGCTTCAGTTGAAAGCTGAGGAACATCATCATCATCATTCATTTCTAGATATAAAGCATGAAATAAAGAGCCTTTTGTCAGCTGAAAAGAATTGGCAAAAAATAAACAACTTAGCTATAATATTCAAATACAGTGGAACCTCCGGTCACGACCATAATCTATTCCATGACTTTGGTCGCAACCGATTTGGTTGTGACCGGAAGCAAGACTGACCTGTGCATGTGCAGACAAAAAAAAAATGGCTGGCAGGGGAAATAGCTGTGGCTGTGTTTGGTCGCCACCCAAAGATGTTATCGCAACCACATGCAAAAAATTTCTGAAACTTGGTAGTCACCCGATTTGGTCATGGACAGAAGCGTTCACGACCCAAGGTTCCACTGTATTTTGCCATGAGGTAAATATAAGAGGAAAAGATTTTTACGAATGAAAAGTAAGAGTTGAGTTTTTTTCCCCATTTTATATACTTGTTTACCAATACAGGTAATCCTCATTTAGTGATCATCAATTGGGACTGGCAACTTGGTCATTAGGGAGGCAGTTGCTAAGTGAAACCATAACTGTGCTTACTTCAGCTTTCCTTTGCTTTATAGACCTGTGAAGGCCATATATTTATTTAATGGTCATAAAGTTACTTTTTCCTCACTGTTGTAAATTCAGATAGCTGTTAAACAAGACTACCTGTGTAGAGCATTGTACATTAGGCAGACTGAAAATACTTTGAAAGGAAGCTTACAATGTCTTATTTATGGGAATCACCATCAAAATTAGCTGTCCTCCTCAAAAGGAACAGAATAAAATTAATCTGCTCCCTAAACAGGCAAGCATTTATAAGTATAGGAAATGAAGGTGAGACATGATGAGAGAAAAAAGGGAGAACCTTACAATACTTGGCTAAGAGTACCTGAGAGAGGGATGGATCACAGTACAAAGCACTAATGAAAATGGATCTGGAACATCATTCAAATGTTTGAGGGCATGAAGCTCTTTTCACTGCTCAGAAAGAGCCATCACTAATGTTCTCTGGCAGAGTAGAGATACTAAGGGGAGTACAGAGTACTATTGCAAACACAGGACTAAGGTTTGGCAAGTCCTCCTTCCCTCCTGTACCACATTCCTGCTATCCTTCCTCCTATTATAGTAGACCCTTCCCAACTTATCTCATGTTGAACCTATCTTTACATTTGCAAGAAAGAAAACAGAATGAAGGTTCCTTCAATTGTAATTTGAAGGTTTCAAAATGGAATTGTTTCAACTGCAGCTCTTTCATTTTCTTCTGAATAATGCACTCATCAAGAAAATGTGTTTTCATTTATAAATAACCAGCTATGTGTAGTTTTGTTAAATATATTTAATGAAAAATCCCTTATGCACTGAAATCATGTATCCGAAAGGATGCCTTCAGCTATTTCTTTCAAGCAAATTCTGCAAATGTTTTAAATGAGTATTTCTTCTTTGATTCATCATTGCTCTAGTGTTGTGCAGCTTTAATGACAGGAAAAATATTACCAATTTTAATGGAATCTATATATATAAAAGTGAAATACCATTCACGCATCATCACAAAATCTCCAGAACCGTGCAGCCTACAATCTTAAAATTTGGCATGTATATTCTTCTTGGTTTCTAGGTGCTCACTAACAAAGGATTTTTCGAAATGACCATCAGAGCTTTAGTATTTCGTATATTATTATTAACACGCTTTGATGCTGAGGAGTTCTACTCCCCCTCCCCACCTGAAAAGAAATCTGTTCCAAATGCAAAACACAAGCAGAGGAGTTTCAGTTTTAGTTTCACAGCAGCAACCAGCTTTAGTACAGAACAGTTGAGCTTAGCCACGCCCAGGCTCCTTGCTGTCTCCTTCTTGCTCACACAGCAAATACTGTTTCAGTTTCCATGTTTCAGTTTCCAAACAGCCCTCAACTCTCTCACACACTGACAGGATGCTAGCCAGATGAATACCGATGGATGCTGACAGACAGAGGTAAAAAATTTTCCCCTTATTTTTCTCCCCCAAAACTAAGCCCGATCACATAGTTTCGTAGCGAAGCACTGGTATAGAGCTAGTTTCTTTATACAGCAAAGTGTGTTTACACATAACGTAAATTTTTGAAGATCTAAATATTAAACCTGTAACAAAACCATAGCTAACAAATAATTAATTATACAAATATGAAAGAAGATAATATGGGCGGATAAATATAGTGCCATAGACACCTGCATGTCATTCTGTATCCAATTTCCTTTTGGCTGTTTTGATCAACAGAAGCTCCAAAGGATGGCAAAATTAGAATTTTAGAATAGATTGCCTCCAATCTCACTAGAATTTGGAAGCAATCACAAGGGCAAAAGTCACAAAGAGGCCCCATAAAGACATCAAGGAAATACAGTATTTCAGAAATAGAAACTAGTTGTTTCTCCATATGTTATGAACTAAATTTTCCAGCATCCCTAATGGATTGAAAATGCTAGAGAAAATGGGAATTAAGAGTATAGCAGCAGCTAAAATCTTGAACCGTATCTCCAAGCAAGAAAGATTCTTGTACTTTTTAACAAAAAGGATTGTAATTTTCACCTACACCTTCAAGAAGACTGCACACATGGCCACTTAAACATCAACAGTAATTCAGTCAAAGTGACATAAATTGTACTGCACATTCAACATGCTTACAGTTCTGATGCATGAAAAATAAACTCGTGGGTAAGTTAAAGTAAAGGCCATTAGCAAGAGTCTTGCCACGTAGCAGAGATCACACAAAGATTGCCCTTCCTAAAAGAGTTTGAGAAGAAACAGGCCACACTGTTATGTGAGCAGACATCCTCAAGGGCAGAGGTCTCCAAACGTGGCAACCTCTAAGACTTGTGGACTTCAACTCTCAAAAGTTGAACTCCACAAGTCTTAAAGCTGCCACGTTTGGAGACCTCTGCTCAAGGGCAATGAAATCTGCCCTTGCACTCCTACACTTTCCCCTGCATCTACTGCTCCAAATTTGAGCATTCAAAGGGCCCACTTTATAGGTAGTCCTCAACTTACAGCAGTTCATTTAGTGCCGTTCAAAGTTACAATGTCACTGAAAAAAAGTGACGTATGGCTGTTTTTCACACTTATGGCCATTGCAGCCTCCCCATGGTTATGTGATTTATATTCGGACGCTTGACAACTGGTTCATATTTATGACGGTTGCGGTGTCCTGGGGATCCTGTGATATCCCCTTTTGCAACTTTCTGACAAGCAAAGTCAATGGGGAAGCCAGATTCATTTAACTGTGTTACTAACTGAACAACTGAAAGGATTTGCTCAATCAAATGTGGCAAGAAAACTCGTAAAATGGGGCAAAACTCACTTTAACATTTTCTCATTTAGCAACATACATTTTGGGCTCAATTGTGGCCGTAAGTCAAGGACTACCTGTATTGGGAAAAGTTGTTCTGCCAGCAAACACAGGTCAGGACTTCTGAACTGAACATAATTATGAAATATAACTTTTCTTATCAAACATTCACCATACACTATATTTATCACTGTTAACATTTCAAAGATTCATACAGGTTGGCCTTTGCAATCGTGAACCTAGTAGTGCTGCTGTTGATTTTTGATAAACCTAAGTCCTTGACCAGGTAGTTTAATTCTAGCTAAGTTATGTAATGAGCGTAATACAACGGTCTCCAAATGTGGCAATTTTTAAGACTTGTGGACTTCAACTCCCAGAATTCCTGAGCTAACATGACTGGAGGAGGAATTCTGGGAGTTGGAGTCCACAAGTCTTAAAGCTGTCAAGTTTGAAGACCCCTGACCATAACAGATGGGGAAGCTTGAGGAAGGCTTCTAGCTTTTACACTTCTGAAGGAGGAAACTGCAAAGGTCCTCTTTTCTGCTCACATTCTTTTGTTGCCACCCTGTTGCCCAGAACCGAAAGGCCTCTAACATCAACGTGGGCCCTCAGTGGTTGCCTTGATACGTCAGGCCGACAACCCACGCTTGCACCGCGAGGAAAACGCTCTGCATTCACGCGGCACACTAATACAGGTATATACAAGCGACCAGTAGGCGGCAGCAAAGAGAGCCCTCGCTGCTGCCATCTCGCGGTCGGCCGCTTGCTTGCAGGCAGAGGAGCCCCATGCTAAAACTCAACTAATCGCCCGGGCTGGGCCTGCATATCCCGCGAGGGCAAAACGTACATGGCGGGTGCAGAGTGGCCACAAACTCTCGTGGAAGGCTCTGGAGACTAAACCCTAAGCCCTATTCCTGCGCCCGCTCCCGGCTGTCCAAAGCAGGCTCTGTCTCCACCGCTGGCGCTCCCCTCCCCGGCAGCTCGTTCTCCTTGCCTCCCGTCGGCTCGCAGCCGGTCCACTCACCGGCAGCCTAGGCCTCTGGCCTCCCGCCCGCCTCTTTCCTTTCTCCCTTCTCTCTCGGAACTCCGCCTTTCCTCCGCCCGGGAACCCAGCCCGCTCCGGCGCCCTCTAGCGCGGAAGGAGCTCCGGCACTTCTCGTCTGTTTGGCGAGCCACTCGCCTGGTTGCTGTTTTAATAGGTGCTATTAAAAGCATCTATAGGGAAAAGAAAAAAAGAAGGGGAGGAAAAGAAAGGAGAGAGGAGGGAAAGGAAAGGAATAGACAAGGCAGGACTGGACTGGAAGGGAAGGGACCTTTGGAGGTCTTCTAGTCCAGCTCTCTGCTCAAGCAAGGGAATTTATGCAATCTCAGACAAGCGACTGTCCGTTCTCTCCTTAAAAACCTCCAATGATGGAGCGAACGCGATTTCTGAAGGCAAGCTGTTCCACTGGTTAATTGTCCTTACTGTTAGGAAGCTTTTCCTTAATTCCAGGTTGCTTCTGTCTTTTATCAGTTTCCAACCATTATTTCTTGTCCTGCCCTCTGGTGAATAATTTGATCCCCTCTTCTTTGTGGCAGCCCCTCAAATCTGAAGTACTGCTATCATGTCACCCCTAATTCTTCTTTTCTTTAGACTAGCCAGACCCAAAATCTGCAGCTGTTCTTCATGTGGTTTAGTCTTCAGGCCTTTGATCCATCTTAGTTGCTCTTCTCTGAACTTTTTCCAAAGGAAGGAAGGAAGGAAAAAAATGGTAAAGTAGGTGCCAAGGAAAAAGGAGCTAAAGAGCATGGCTTCCCTGATTCTTGCCAAGCATCATGTTTTATGGGCATATATTACAGCTAAAAAAGAGTGGGATGGGTTGCTGGATTGTGGTAGGATTTACAGAGCCTCCCATTCTTTTTATATTCTATCTAATATCAATGCCCAGAGAGACAATGTTATCGTCTGTCACGGTAAAACACTGAGAGGACTTCAAAGGCCTTTTCAAATTGCGAGATTTATTTACCATGCAACTCAGGAGGACTTTTCCACTCAGTTTCCAGGACTAAAAGAAGCCTACCGAAATGATGTTTGCATGAGCCAAATAGCTACAAATAGCTAATAATGTAAATGGTAATTTTGCTCAAAAGCATCACATATGGGACTTATTCATACATAGTGTTGGGTGGCACTAGTTAGAATGGTAATCCACCAATTAAGGGCAAGTGTTTATGAATTGTATGATAAATTGGTTCCCAGTGGTGCCTTTTTATAGAAGATAAGTAAGCTTTTAAAATAAACAAAATGTAGCACTTTGCGTGGTTTTATTTTCCAGAAAAACTTATTTGTTGCTATTTTGTTCTTAAATAGAATGATCCATCCAGACCTCTTGTCTGTGAAATCAGACAAATAAATTTGAATATTCTCAGACTTGCAACCTTCTGATATTAAGCTTTACAGTAAAAGAAGTATTGATCTATATGGCGTTGGTTTCCTACTTAAGTCTATCTTGTAGGACTGGCAATATTATAAAATGCCCTTTGTTTCAAATAGAACAATCCAGTGAAATGGCAACTATCTCCCACCATTGACTCCTGACATTCGCTTCAGATTAAAGCTGAATGAATGCTGATCTAGTCTGAATTTAAAATCTGATTTGATGTTTACTGAAGTTTATACTTCTCTGTTATACTATGACGAAACAACTGAATGGCAGACTGGTCAGCCATATTTTAGCTTAATGTGTTACGCAAAGCCCATCTATGTGTTGGAAGAAATATCCATTTGGTTCAGTTCCAAGTCGGGAGAAAGGCACTGGAGACAAATGGAGGCTGATTGGAAAGAGGATCCATTTATTGGTGAAGCAGAACCACCAAGCATGTGTAATTCTGGGTAACTGACCACATGGAGTTGAGAGTGAGCGGTTTTTATACCTTCTCTTGTTTTTTTGCACTTGAACTTCCTGTTCCTATACAAGAACTTGTATTCTATGGGCTGTTGTCAAACTCCCATGCTGCCATGTACAAATCCTAGGAGTTTGTCTGAGCTAAGCTTGGTTGAAATTTGGCTGATGCAATGAAGCGGCTTGTTGGGCAATTTCTATTGTGGCTGAGGGCTAATCCTGCCTTTGTTCAGACTTTGCTGCAGGGAATTTTTGCCTATGAATAGAGCTACCTATCTCTTTATCTCTCAAGCGCTGACATCTGCTGAGGTCTATTAAGAAAGGTGGGGGCTGCTTTCCAAGAGCATGTTTCTTGGTTTCTCATCCGGGGAAATATAATATTATGCCTTTTTAATGTTTCTCAAACTTTTTCATTCTTCTAGGAGAGGGGTGGGTGCTAACTTTCTACATACGTAATAATAATAATAATTTGTCCAACATTTTTGGTGTGTGTGTGTGTGTTCAAGTCAGTATTGACATCTGGCTCTAGTGAGTGCCTGGAGTAGTTCCTGCAGTTTTCTTGGCAATATTTTAGAACTGGTTTGCTATTGCCTCTTTCCTAAGATTGAAAGAGAATGACTTGCCCAAGGTCTCCCAGCTAGCTCCATGCCTAAGATACAACTAGAACTGTCTTCTGTTTCTCATCACTTTAATCACTAGTCCGAACTGGACTCCCAAACTTGTATTACCATGGTGAAATTAACTAAAGATATAGTTAAATGTGATAGATGTGCTCTGCAGAGAATCTCCTACAATTTTATCTTAGGAAATGAACAGGCATATGTTTTATACTTGTCAGTTAAAAGCCTACAAATAAGAAACAGTGCTGCAGGAACAGAATGAGATTTTCTGAATACTCAGATATAGGTACTCCTCTAACCTACATATGAGTTAGAGCATGGGTGTCAAATTTGCTGCGTCACGTTGCCGTCATGTGATGTTTCATGACATTTTTCCCATTCGCTGAGCTGGGGCGGGCATGGCCTGCGTGTGATGTATCTGGCCTGCGTGTGGCCAGCTTGACACCCCTGAGTTAGAGTGATCACAATTGGGACTCACAATTTGGACATTCAGCAAGGCAGTTGCTAAGTGAAACCATGTCTTTGCTTAAATCTTATTTCAGTTTTTCTTTGCTTTATCGATCTGCAAAAGAAGTTAATGAGAGGACTGGTTGCAAAATTAATTTTAATCACTGTTGTAACATCAAACAGACACTACACGAGATATATACTAAACAAGGGCTACCAAATTCCTAGATGCCTGTTAGGGCTCTTACATCTGCAGAATCACTAGGGTGGAAGCAGAGAGGTAGGGATTTCTGTATCTTTTGGTTACCACCAAGTAGTTATTTGCATTTTTGCAACCTAGACATAATAGCCCGATTGTTTATTTAAGGGGAGAAGTCTTTTCACCATTATTGTGAACTAAAAAATTAGATTAAAAAGAAGAAAAAAATAATTATTGATGTTTGGCACACAGCACCATGTTTATAGTGCCAAATGTGGCTTGCTTTTGAAATGTAGATGGCTGCAAGAAATTAATGGGTACTGTGAAAGAGTAATCCCAAAATAAACTCTGATAAAAAGCAAGAAAATAAGGGCTTTATTTTTAAAAAACAGAAATTGAGTAAATCTAGTTGTTTTTTAAAATCTCTTTGGAACATGATTGAAAGCCAGTATAAAAAATGAAAAATTAAATGCTTACAAAATTATTACTTGGTAAGATTTCAAAATTCTGCATGTACATACTTGATGACTAATCAATGAAATATTATTGCAGTGTTTGAAACTACTTTTTTTGGTATGCTAGTACTGACTGCAGGTCACATCATAAACTTCTTTTGACTTCTGGATTGCAGTTTTTGAAAATAGGAACAATGGCATCCTTAAACATGTTTTGGATACCCAGCTTATTTCAGGATGTTTCCAGAAACATTGTGACTGCAGTGTCCTTGCTAATTGGATAGATGTACAGAATGTTGGGTGATGGATTTAGGAGAAGTGTGATACTGGAAAACAGTGATAGCGATACAATGAAACAAAAACATGCAAGAAAATAAAACTCTGCTTCTCCTGCATTAAAATACTGTAGAATTGAACAGTTCTAATAGTACTTATTTTCTTTATAATATGGTTTTCTGATGAGAATAGAAACATGCCTAATTTTCTCTTTTTTTAATTACAAGTTTTAACAGCACCAGTGTTAAGGTCTTAACCACTATGGTATCATTTGTATCTTCAATAAACCATTATGAAAAACACATCTATGCCTTAAAACTTACTAAATGGATAATTTAAAACTTTCCTCCAGGAACAATTTCACTTGATTTAGTAAAATATATCAATCGTGGCCCAAATCCCTGTGCTGGGAACGCAGTATGAGAGACTGCTGCATATGAAAAATTAAGATTTCCATTGAGTACGTATGGAATATCCTGTCTATTATAAAGGAAGAATAAATGTCTTGTTCTCCTACTAAATGTTCTTCCTAGCTCGCTCAATCCAGATGTGTTGAGGCTACATTTGAAGCCATGCACACTATTAAATCTGTAGAGGTAGTAAAACAACCTTTCAATCCAACAATAACTTCAGAATCAGAAGATGTAAATTGAGCAAAACCAGGAAAAGCAGAAGTGAAGCAAATATTCAGTTAACAAAATAGCTGGTACACCATCAGAAGTTCCCAGGAGAAATGATAATACAGTACACGAACCTACATTTCCTTTGATCTTACAGCCATAATGTTGGAAAGTTAGGCATTTGAGCAGAATTTGCCACCTTCCTCAGTGCAGAAAAGGAAATTAAAGCACTCTGAGACAGGTAACTCTGCAATCTGTACTTGAATACTTCAGGTAAGAAGCAACCCAACACCTTTGTCACTGCCCTATTTGATAGGATTTTTAAAAAATGGGATCTGATTTATGGGGATTCAAATTCTTTATTCCAGGTCTTACATTTTCACTTTCTTTTACGTAAGTCCTCTCCAAAAAAAGTTTTGTAGTCTTCAAAATTTCAGCAAGAAAAGTGCTTTAGATTCAGCTGCCACTACTGAATCCAAATACCTTTGAATCTGAAGACTGTACAGCACATATTTTAGCTATTTGAAGACTTATATCCCCCACTCTTCTGACATTTTTCAATTACTCATTCCAGTTTGCTTCCTTCTAAAAG